GAACATGATCGTCACTGACATGAGGCCTCTGTCGATGGTTGAAGACGAAGGCTTCACTACAATAATCCAAATTTTTAATCCAAGTTACAATAATCCACACTTTTAATCCAGGTTACACACTTCCCTCAAGGACACATTTTACAAAGTAGCTACATATTGTGCAGGTATAAAGATACATATGTACATATTTTTGTGTACATTTATTTTTTTTAAGCTATTTGTCTAACTTTTATTTTATATTATTCAATATTTTACTAACAGAATAATCAAATAGCAACTTGTTTTTTGTGTGAATTGCTATGTCAGTCAAATGTTCAATTTTGGAATAAAGGGGTGGAAATTAAAACGTTTGTTTTTGCAGATTCATCGATTAATCTGAAAAAATAATCGGCCGATTAAGCGATTCTTAAAATAATCGTTAGTTGCAGCCCTAATTTCCACTACAATCTGTGCCTCATTCATTCATACAGCACTCTACTAGATCTCTACAAAGATAATTGAACAAATCATTCTAAAGAGACTAATCAGAGCTTTATCACATTCATACACTGATGGGACACACATTGGAGACAATGAGGGATTCAGTGTCTTGTCCAGGTTACACTTCAGCATGTGACTGCTGGTGGATTCAAACCCCCAACTTTTGCATTGGAGGACGACTGCTCTAACCACTCAGTCACTTTTAAAAGGAGCTCACATGATGAAAAGATCTGGCCACTCCTGGTCTAAGATCTCACAAATACAGTGTAGTCAGGATGCACTCCTGGAATTGCGTCTTTTAGTTAGAAACGATGGTTTGAGAGAGGAGTAAAGGAGGCCATCTTTGTGAAAAGAAACCGTCCATCATTAAACAGGGGTGGAGGCCTCCGCGTTCAATTGTCCCCCTCTTACAATGCTGTGATTGGTAGTATTTCTCAGCCCCCTGTGAATAGTTAACAGCCATCAGGTGCTAATGATCCATTGGTAGGCTGATGGTCCTTCTTGACCATGTGATCAGCTGGTTTTGGTTGTCAGCAGCAAAACTGGTTGATCCACTCTGAGAAGGTGCTATTTAAGAGACTGAGCTGAAAACAGCACCTCAGACTGAGGAAGTCTTTCGGATGAGAGACGAAACGTTTCTACATTTTTGTTTGTTTTTGTTTTGCTTTGTTTTGTTTTTTGAATGTCCAGAGGACCAGACTGAACTTTTTTAGTTGCATCTTTTAGTGTTACTTCAGTTAGAACAGAAAATGAGGGGTGGGGGTGGAGGTTGGCTTCTCCTATTCTGCACCATCTTTCTGGAATACGTTGCAGCAAAAACTGAAATGTTCCAGTTTGATTCCTCTGGGACATTTTAACACATGAAAAAAAAATCATTTTTTAAAATTAGTCGAAACAATTTCAAACCTGTTCATGTTTTTAGGGTTAAATAAAAACGCCTTAAATCCAACTAAATATGTAAGAAGTCTTGAAAAATGCTGTTCATATGCTCTCAATCCAGTTTGCCTGAGCTGCAGCTGGTTTACAAAGAATGGGCAAAAATATCAGCATCAAAGCTGGTGGAAACAGACCCTAAGAGACCCACAGTTGGCAGAAAAAACTGGTTTATTAAAGTCCACAAAAGTTTGTGTTGGTCTGTTACATAAAATACCATGAAGTTTATGGTTGCAACTTGACAAAATGTGTAAAGGGTCAAAAAGTGTGGATCATTTTCTAGGGACTTTAAGTGGAAATGCTTTTGTGTAATCATCCAATGATCTTACATGGAACATACATAAACTGGACTTGAGAAGGAACTCACTTACTGAACATCTCGCCTACACACCTAAACCCCCCACCTCCACCACCTCCCACATAAATTATATTATATACCGTATTTGCCAGACTATAAGTCACTTTTTTTTTTTTTTTCATAGTTTGGCCAGTCCTGCGACATATAGTCCAAAGCGACTTGTATACGTTTTTTTCTCCTATTCATGACGTAATTTTTACTGACACTTTAAATGGTCATTCATACTGACATGAACCAGAGCAAACATTACCATTTGCAGCCGTGACAGGGTCCTCTAGGCTTTGACAACTATATGTTTTTCCTCTACCGATACCCCCCCCCCCCCCCCACACACACACACACCAAAACATTGACTTAGAGACAACTGAAAAAAGGAAAGAAAATGTTATTCTGCAGATTATAAACTGTAGGTAATCAAATATGCAGCCCCAAATGGTAATCTAGCAGCAGAAAGAATGTTTGTAAAAGGGAGGGGTCCATGCAGTCTGCCCAGGGGATTCAACCCAGCGGAAGGGACGGCCCCTCAGTGACAGAGGATTCTCCCTCGCGGGGGACCTTCCCACCACCCATGTCTGGTTGGCTCCTGCCAGGCAGAGGCGGACTGGCCATCGGGAGCGCCGGGACACTTCCCGGTGGCCTGGTTGCCGAGGAACGGGACTAAAGGCTCGGTTCGGGTCGCACGGACTTTATTATTTTAAATAAACAATTCACTTTTGCCTGGGCTCAGGTCTCACGCTGCACTGCAGCGACGGAGAAAGCCTGGCACATCCCCCGGCCGGGCCGGCCCCCTCCCTTCCTTTTCTGTGTGTCACAGAGCAGAGACACACACACACACATTGCGCCCGCCCCCCTCCCCGCCCTAGGACTCGCGCTCCCGACGGTGTTGGCGCGCGGTGCGTGCATCTCTGAGTTGTAGAATGGAGCAACAGAGACAGCCAAAGAAGAGGAAAGGTGGAGCAGAGAGAGAGAGGATAAAAAAGAGAAAAGCTCTGGCCGCGGATGCTGCTAAGTGCTATAAATTAATGTTTGTTCGTAATGGAGCAGGTAAGAGAAACACTTGTGTTGAAAAAATTGAACTCTGGCACAGTTTATCAGCACAGCTTAATATCCACATGCTAGCTTCACTTTGAGGGACCTAAGTGGGCCAAAACTGACTTAATATAACAAATGTTTTTAAGTTTTTACAAAGAATATTGCAAATTTTATAATATGGGTTAGGATCTGAAAAAAGTTTAATGTTGAAATGTTTAGGAATTCAGATTTTTTTGTATCTAAAAAAGTTAAGTCAGGTCCTCTGGACAAATAAAAAAAAAACTTGTTGAAACTTTTGTCTTTAATCCAAAAAACTAAGTTCAGTCTGAGGAGTTGCAACAAGCTCAGTTTCAAATAGCCTCTTCTCATAGTGGATCAACCAGTTTGTTGTTAACATCCAGAACTAGCTGTTAACATAAGGAAGACCTGCAGCCTAACAACCCCTAACAATGGTTTCTTTTCACAAAGATGGCTTCCTTTACTCCTCTCTCAAACCATAGTTCCTCTCTATCAAGGATGTGCACATCTTCATCCCTGAAAGTGACTGCTGGCCTGCAGATGAGTGTAAACTGCCGAGTCTTGGCCTGAAGATGTTGCTCTTCTGTGCTGGGCCAAAGAGCAACATCATCAGGCCAGGAGAACTCTGTGGTTTACACTCATCTGCAGGCCAGCAGTCACTTTCAGGGATGAAGATGTGCTCATCCTTGAAAGAGAGAAGTGTTGGTTTGAGAGAGGAGTAAAGGAAGCCATCTTTGTGATGAGAACTCATCCATCATTAAACAGGGACAGAGGCCTCTGTGTCCAACTGTAGCCCTCTTACAATGCTGTTATTGCTGGTATCTCTCAGCCCCCTGTGAATAGCAAACAGCCTAGAGCACTAACGATCCATTGTTAGGCTGATGATGGTCCTCCTTTATCATGTTAACAGCTAGTTCTGGATGTCAGCAACAAACTGGTTGATCTACTATGAAAAGAGACTATTTGAAACTAAGTTTGTTGCAGCTTCTCAAACTGACAGTCTTTTGGATTAAAGACTAAACGTTTCAACAAGTTTTTTTTTTTTTTAATCTGTCCAGAGGACCTGACTTAACTTTTTTAGATTTTCTACCTGGATTATTGAGGATATTTTGTGTATACCCTTCATTACTCCAATAAATTATCTGAATATTAAAATCCTTGTATTACAATATTTTATTTAAACTTTATTTTACCAGGTAAAGTTCCGTTGAGATTAAGAACTTTTTTTTTGTTATATGAATAGCCAATACATATAAATAGTCAATAAGTGAAAATGAATAGATGGGAAATTATGGATGGCTTTTTAGACGTGTGCAAACAACATGCATTCAAAGTGCGCTCAATTGAACTCAGTCTTGGTGGTTTGCGTTAATCAGGTGGTGGTGGCCTGGGATGGTATCAAAATTCCCGGCCTGGATTATTGTCCCAGTCCGCCCCTGCTGCCAGGCACATTTCCTCCGTGGCAGTATGCCACGACAGGCTCTGGGTCGGCCTGGAACTGTCCGGGGACTGAAATATATGTTGACTTACACCTTTTACTACAAGAAGACGGATGCTTGACAGACTCATCATGAACTGCATTTAATAACCATCATCTTCAGAACAACTTAGCATCATACCATCAGCACCGTTCCTGGTTTTATCACATTACATAGCACTCCGCTACGAGCGGCACTATATACTACAGGGATGAAGGCGGCTCGCAGCTCCGACCACAAGCTCTACAGTGTCACCCTGCTCGCACCTCATCACTTCCTGGGGCCACGGACAACGTGCCTCGCTGCACCTTTCTTCCCTGCTCCAGCAGCAGAGGGATGGGGCCCCTTTGCCCCAGCATGTCTGCTGACCGGTGCATACAACATTGTTTTTAGGTGTTAATCTCATTAAATTTTGAACTGTAACAACAAGTCCTGTTGAGTGCGCTCCTGAGTGCGCTCCTGAGTGCGCTTTTGAGTGCGCTCCTGAGGCGCTCCTGAGGTGCTCCCGCGACACTAATCAATTTTTGGCACGACACCTGTTGTGAGGGGTCTGTGGCAACACATAATAAATGTGACTTATACTCCAAAGTGCCTTATAAATATATTTTTTTCTCTTCATGATGTACTTTGTGACTGATGCGACCTATACTCCAGAGCAATGTATAACCCCAAAAAAATGGTATTCATATATGCTTTTTTCTTTTTACTTGAAGAAACGAGGGATGTGCTCCTCCCCTTTTTTGGCCATCTCCTTCCTGCGGTCTCTCTGCTTTTCCTCCACTTCATCCTTCTTCTTATCAGCCTCTTCCACCTTCCCCTCCTCTAGGAGCCTAATGGAAGCAGCAGTGTTCAGAATTAAACAGACACTGTAGTAGTACAGATTAAAATACAAGTGTAAATACCTCTGGTCTGGTCTGAATCGTGTGTCTGTAGGTGGAAGGACACCAATCAGGTCCGGGGTTAGTTCGTTCAGTTCTCTTGCGTAATGTGAGAAACCATAGAACTGGGCGTAGTCATCAGGCTGTACATCTGAACAGAAACAACATTTATCAGATGAACTCTGATGGATGATGGATTTAAACCCTGCACGACTGCTTAATTCTCAGGTTTTCAACTGGAAGGTTGAGTTTCTGAAGCTGAAGACCATCTGTGCTGTTTGAGTTAAGGTGGAGCTCCTTACTGGGCTTCCAGATGCACTTTGGTGTTGGCAGAGTGTCACAGAAGATGCCTTCATGCCACAGGCCTCCAAAGCGATGGATCACTTCTCCGGCCCGATTTAGGACTACACCCTGAACCTCGTTCTTACTGCTGTCTGAGCTCCAGTAACGAGACTGTAAAATGGAGATGGGATAATGAAGGGCAGTTCAGCTCGACGTGTGTACAGGTGTGGACTGTTGGGACAAACCAGGTGAAAATGAGTGTCTTCACCTTGACAAAGGTGATCTTGCAAGTGCACTCATCGCTCTTTGTGTTTCTGATGACCACCTCTCCATAATGCTCCAGCCAGCGCTGTTGACTCAACACATTGTGGATACAGGTCACGGCCTTGTTCCATTCATAGTGATCACCGTACCTACACACACAGGCGCCCACGTACACACCCACAGACAGACAGAGAGAGACAGAGTTAATTTTACTTACAAACATGACAGTGAGTTTTTAATGATTCAGTCTGTGCACTACCATAATTGCTGATCTATAAAGCACACCCAAATATAAGCTGTGCATACTAAATAGAAAAAGCACAATTTGTACATATATAAGCCACGCTTGTGAATAATCTGATGGTGTTCACATTGTAAAATGAGTGGCAGCACACGGCTACTGAGAGAGATATGCAGCTCTTGTTGTACATCAAGAATCAGCTGCTAATTTTAAATGTGCTTTATAAATAAATTTGACTCAACTCCTGCTCCACGGAGCTCACATGCTTCATGCCAGGGGTGTCAAACCCACTTACAAAAGGGGGCCAAAATTAAAACTTTTTCAAACTAAGGGCCTGTTTCAGAATCTACATTAAGTCAAGTTAGATATCAACATCTTTTCTTGGTTGCAGGTTCCTCAACAAGAGTTTGATTGGTCTCATTTCATGTTCTCTGTTGCATTTTTGACATAATAAAAGATTATTGAAAAAAATTAATGTGATAAAAGTATTTTGCATTTAAAATAAAATCTTGGCGCCAGATAAGATGTTAAGGAGGGCCAAATTTGGCCCCCGAGCCTTGAGTTTGACACATATGCTTCACAGGGAGAGGGGGAATTCTCCCCTCTCCCGCTCCCTCCTTCCTCCCAGTTTCATGGTTTGGCTGTGACCTGTTCAGTAATTTCATTGGTCAGTTTTCTTCAACCTTTATTGATATAGGTAGTCTCATCAATACTCGTCGCTCTTGGAGGGCGGGTCCTCATGACATAATGAGACTACCTCATTGGTTCATTGTGGTTGAATGCTGGTCACATGGCCTCAGGGAGGGATTATGCATAAAATATATGTTTATTGTTCTGTTAGCTGTTTAGCATTGTTCTTTTAGTGAGTCTGTTCTTGTTAGCCTAATTTATGTGTTCATTATATGTTAGACCATTCAGTAGAGCAGTGCTTCTCTATTTTCTGTTACGCCCCCCTGGGAAGACGCAAACATTTTGCGTCCCTCAACTCTCTGCCGCAACTGCAAATAGTCACTGTTGTAGTCAAGACCACCTAACCTGAGACTAAGTCAAGACCAAGACCAGAGTGTACCGAGACAAGACCAAGACTTTTGGGGTCTGAGACCAAGTTCAGACCAAGACCTCAAGTCTTGGAGTTCAATCTTTTCACAGATTATCTGTTTTATACCATACTGTCACGACATAATGACAGTTTTAACAAATATGTAAAAACCATGCAACTTTTATTTTTTTTTTTTAATAAAAAGTTGCATACAGCAACTTTATTGGCTTTTGAATTAATGTATCAGCTTATAAAATTTCAAATAAAGAAATCAGACATTCAGTGGTTTTTGCACAATAATTTTCATGTCATGTGACCCACTGACACAAAACTAATGTTAAACTCTACTAGACCTGACAGACTAGGCACCCTCATTTATTTCTCATTTTAAAACATTTTTTAATTTTACATAATTTATTTGTTCAAAAATCATGGCTTCTGCTCAATAACTAGAACATGCAATGAGCAATAAATGATGGTGTGTTGTCAGAGTCAGAGTTTCTTTATTGTCATTCGCACCTCATGTGGTACATGTGGTGGAGCGAAATTATGTACACAGGGTCCCAGTTACATCCAACAATAAAATGTATAAGAAAAACAGTAATAACATCTAAGATATGAACTAAGAAAAACATCAACTAAATATACACTAAGCACTCATAACATAAAAACATTGAACATCAGCACAATCATGAACATGAGTCTGTGAGCAGATGTGCACGCATGAACACATCAACATTGAAACAGATCAGCAGCAACATGAAACAGATCAGCAGCAACATGAAACAGATCAGCAGCAACATGATATGGTTTTTCACAGTGATTATTCTAGTTAGATATTCATGAGTCTAACAGCCTCAGGGTAGAAGCTGTTCCTCAGTCTAGTGGTTCTACACTTAATGCTCCTTAACCTCCTTCCTGAGGGGAGTGGGGCAAAAAGTGTGTGTGCTGGGTG